GTAATGTTTAACTGGCTCTTTAATAGCATTCTCACTATCTCCATCTGCAAATGATCAAAAATAACAATTGGATATTCTACTGTCTCTGAATGTTTGTTTAATGTCTGTCTTCCTAACTAGAGTATGAGGCCCCTGAGGGCAGGAACTGTTGCTGTTTCACTAGCCATGTTACTCTAGTGTCACCACAGTTCAATGAATTCATGTTGCGTAATCGACCGCGTGTGTGGAGGTGATAATATGTACAATGAATCTTGGAATTATCTTACGTGCACTTTCCTAGTGCTGCGATAAGATCATGTCATCCCGAACATGGAAAGAACCACCTGCTTTTACCACTGACTAAAAGAATGATTGAAAAAAGGAACGAGTCTTATCACTAAGTTTCACACTTAGGTATGACTCACAGCCTTTTCTCCTTCATGCCTCCATGAAAAAGGGAAGGAAGAGAAGGCACGGGAGGGAGAGGAGAGAAGGAAGTTTAGGAGAATAATATTATTGATCATAAGCACTAATTTTAGATGCTTTCATAATATTTATTATCTGATTTAATGCAAACAATAACCTTCAGAAGTAGAAAATTTTATATTTTCTTCATTCATTCATTCACTCAACAAATGATTACCTACTGTGTACATACATGGTGTTATGTACCAAGGATACTCCATGGGTAAATCCCATGTTGTTCCCACTCACTCAAAACTTTAGTTGATGATATACATATTAAGGAAATATCCAAAATTAATAAAATTTGCCATTGCAGTAGCTGTTAAATGATGATACACTGGAAAAGGTTAAGAAAGATGACTGAGCTGAAATCTGAAGGATATCACCACAAAGGTAGGAAAATATGGCTGAGCTGAGATTTAAGGATTAAGCATATGGGAGTGGTTAAACATTCCAGGAGAAGAGAACAGCATGTGCAAGACCTCAGTAGAGACAAGCTGGAAATTAGTACCTTTTTTTCTATTCCCTGGAAGATTTTGTGTAAGACTGGTGTTATTTTTTTCCTTAAATATTTGTAAGAATTCATTGGCGAAGCCTGCAAGTCTGAAGTATCTTTGTGGGAGAAATTTTAATTATAGATTCAATGTTAATAGATTTGAGAATATTCACATTTTTTACTTCTTCCTTTATTATTTTTAGTAAATTGTATTTTCTAATGAATTTATAAATTTCTTTTAAATTTTCAAGTTTTTTGTCATGAAGTAGTTCATAATATTTTCTTATGATTTTTTAATAACTATAGGATGTATTGATATACTCTTTTTTATTCCTGAAATCAATAATTTTGTCTTCTCTATTTTTAAATCCATCTTGCTAAGATTTTGTCAGTTGTACTAGTTTTTAAAAAAACTTTTGGTTTTGATGATATTCTCAATAATATGCTTGTTTTATTAATATCTGCTCTGTTGATCATCTACTTTTGCTTTTTTGTGTTTTTTTTTTGTGAGGAAGATCAGCCCTGAGCTAACATCCATGCTAATCCTCCTCTTTTTGCTGAGGAAGACCAGATCTGAGCTAACATCTATTGCCAATCCTCCTCCTTTTTTTTTCCCCAAAGCCCCAGAAGATAGTTGTATGTCATAGTTGCATAGCCTTCTAGCTGCTGTATGTGGGACGCAGCCTCAGCATGGCTGGAGAAGCGGTGCATCGTGCGCGCCCGGGATCAGAACCCGGGCCGCCAGCAGCGGAGCGAGCGCACTTACCTGTTAAGCCACGGGGCTGGCCCTGATCATCTACTTCTGTTGTCTATTATTTCTTTTGCCTTTTGAGCAAATTTTCCCATCTCTTTTTGCTCTATTTATTTTCGGCTAGCAATGTGTATGAAAAATTGTGGAAATAAATTTAGACTCCAGGTGGCATTATCTTCTTTTGAGAGAGTTTATGTTTGTTTCTGGCTGGTAGCTAGGTTCACTAGCTGTCCCAGATCACACTAAACTAAAGAATTGAATTGATATTAGCACAGGTCTATTTCTAGTTCATCTTTTCTCCTATGCTGTAGCCTTTCAAAGTCCCAAATGACAGTGCGATGAGTAACCAGAAGTCTCCTTCATTGTTCCCCTAACCCTGTAACTCGATCATAAATATTCCTCAGACTTTTACCTCTCAGTGGCCTCTTACAGAATTCATAGATTCCTAGAGAGGCAGCAGCCTCAAATATTGGGCTTGTTTCTCTAGGCTTTCTTTTTTGATCCAAATCATAGACCGTAAATTTTTCTCTGCCTTTTTGTCTCTCTGATGCCTTGAAGAATTTTTTTTAATTTCATGCATCTTTTCTAAATGTCACAGTTGGAAAGTTAGCTTAATTTCCTCATCTATCATGAGGAATACAAATTCTAAGGTTCATTTTTATTTTTTCAATTATTTTTTAAAAATGACCATTTTTATTGGTTATTCCTCCTAGTATATATGGTGTGCTTTTCCTGCCACCAATTATTATCACAATATTTCTATTTTACAAATAATTTCAGACGCACTAGAGTTGAAATTTCTTGCTTCAAACCTTTATCAAATCATGACTAGAATGTAAGTTCCATGAGGGCATGGAATTTTGTTCAATGACGTTTAACCAGAACCTTGAACAATGCCTAGCATTTAGTGGGTTTTCAATACTTTTGCAATTAAATGAATGACTCAGATTTTGGCATTCAAGTGGAGAACCATGACTTCTTTATTCATTTGCTACAGGTTGTTTATCACTTTTGCAAGTACACAATTGGATGTAGCTTGAAGACAATATTTACATGACATGTTATATGGAGCAAACTTTCCTTACCTCTTTTCTTTGGACCTCTGGATGTTCTTTTCAGTGTATGCTTCAAGTAGCTCCGTTAATCTTGAAAATTTACATAGGCAATAAATCAGTGAAAGGTGAACCCACCCTGTAGATACACTATGTCCATTTTATGAACATTTAGTTAAGTGTAAATATATGTGTCCAGTTATAATGTGATTCTGGTGTTTATTACCCATCTTTTCTCGTTCTCACTAGGAAGTCATATTGATGACTTTCTTAGTGAGAAGTGACTTAATATCTCAAGCCTGGTTCAGTCTGAATCTTCTCTCATTGCTTTGATCCGTGACTTTGACTCAGATATGGGCCTCAGAATTTCATCTTGGTCCAAATACAGCTGGTCAGTTCCAGCAGTCAGGTACATTGCTGATAAGTCTAAAATAGAAAATTATTTTCTTTGTCTAAAATTGCTTCAAAGTTATGTCTTGCCAATGTATAGCTCAATGTTTATATTTTAAACTCCACAGCTATTCTTATGTGCAATACAGAGATTACTGAAAACTCGTACAGCTCTCCTGTACCAGTCCCTCTGAATACAAAGGCTCAGCTCAAGTGGAAGGGTTTGAGAGCCCTTCATAGGCTTAGGCAGAACATCTAAATTTTTGTAGGCACAAGCGATACCACCGTTCATTTTAATTAAGAGTTTTGGATAAGAAAATAACACATCCACTAATCAAAATCTCTTTCTTTCATAGCTGCTTCTTCCATCCCAGTACAATGTACTCCCTCCAGTTACATTCTCGTGGGTCTAGGATTGGGTTAGTTGGTTAGCTGAGGAATTTTTTAGTCTTGATTTCATTCCCACTTTGAGTTATCCAGGCATGAGTAATGTAAGATGAGACTTGGACCTATTGTACATGATTCCACATTTTTGACCCAACTTGGACCCTAACCACATAATTGCAATGGTTATGGCATAGCTATGGCCTAGCTATGGCCTTGGTAACTTGACCTCTAGAGGCCAGCAATTCTACCTATTGTGAGTAAATTGATGATGGGATATTTTCATTGTTGTGAAGAGTGCCAACCTAAATATATAAAACCTGATAACATCAGTTGTCTCACAGCCAGGACTAATGCCAATGTGGAAATCCTGCTAGGAAAAGGTATGGCAGCAACTAGGTATTCCCAAGAGCAGCACTTATATTTAAAGTGGCTTTATATTTGCTCCCCCTGGTCAAAGACTGGGCTCTGATGGACCATAGGAGCCTGGATGCCTCATCTCTGTATTTCCACCTCTCTTGACTTTTCAGCCAAGAATGACTATCTCTATCCAGTCCTGGTGGAGATCACCTGATCTTTGGCCAGGGCCTCTGTGCACATATGGCATAGCAGGAGCTGTGTAAGATAACAGTCCAGAGTTAGGCACTGGGGAATAGTGCCAGGTTCAAATCCTGCCTCTCCTTATTCAAGTTTTGGGATCAAGTTACCTAATCTCCCCCAAGCTCCAGTTTTCTCTTATAAATGGACATAATAATAGTACCTAACTCTTGGAACTGTTGAAAGTATTAAATAATCTATACAAAGCACTTAGCACAGTGACTGGTTCATAGTGAGATCTCAACATACATTAGTATTATTTTTATAGAAAATTCTTTCTCTTTATAAAACTGTACATTTGTGTTAAAGGACTTAAACTCAAAGTTGTTGTATTAACTAAGAACCTGCTTAAATTGGACTCAAGGTTTTTTCTAGATAGAAATCTTTGCTGTGGTCAAAGAGCATGCTATAGTGCTATTTCTTGTCCGTCCCATGAATACCATTTCTGTGCTCTCTTGTAATAGACTGACTGTATTGTCTGCCTACTCAGCCTGCCTGGGATATGTGAACTATGCCAAGCCTCCCTTACCTATGAATACTTCCTCACACTGCTCCCTGCATTTCTCTCCCACAACATATTTGAGGCGGTTATCACAATACTCATGGCCATTTTCCTCTCTTTCTTCTTTCAGTAAGAATTCTTAATTGTGCAGACTCAGGATTGAAAGTGACTTAGATGCCAAGCGCACACACACACACACACATTCATTCATTCACGCTCATATAATTTAGTTCGGTATAGGATTCAACGTATGGAATCTTCCAAGGCCTCGAGGACCCAAACACTTCTTAAAAATGTAAGGTTGACCAGAAAGTTTTTTAAAGGTTCAAATAGGACTCTCATTGATTTTTATAAAAATTTTTAGAGACTAAAGGAAACATTATGTGAGGTTTTCTTTTGTCCTAATGGATGATTGAAGAGCCATTCATTGCCCAGTCCTGACACTGCTTTTCTCCATTGGGTCTCTGTGAGAGTCACATGTTTCCGACATCTTTGAAAAGAATCTTCGGAGGCTTCAGCATCTCATTTGAGTCTCCTGAACCTCACCTAGAACTGTGTTGAATTCTCATCCATCACAATGAGCAACAGATTCCTGGGCACCTGGAAGCTTGTCTCCAGTGAGAACTTCGATGAATACATGAAAGCTCTGGGTAAGAAATGTTCTTTGTGGTTTTGGTTGAGAAGATCCTTTTTGAGAACGCTGACTATTTCCTTCTAATTCTTTTTCCAGGAGTCTGGGGAAGTTTGCATAGGCTGAAGTACAATCCTCTTCTAGAATTAATCTTCTGCTGTGTCATTCAGAGAGTTTATTTGCATTCTGCTTGTGGCAATTTTAATATATTTTAACCTAAGGGAGAGTTGCTTAAATTCATGAGATTCCCACCAATTTTAAAGGCAGTTTCATATCAATAGGGCTTTGGATTCAGACCTGGAGGGAACCAATCTGAGAACCTTAATCAACCCATTCTCTGACTTTCCTGCAAGTTAGTTTTATAACAACTAAAGTGCTCATGAAATGAGGAGTTGGATATACTCAAGTTAATAGAACATCTCAATTTAAAATTTTGATATTTAGCTAAACCAGAAGTTTTCTTTCTCTACCTCTACATTGTCCGTTATGACATAGTTATGTAGATAGAGACTTTGTAGAAAGTAAATGCTTCATAAAGCAAGTTGTTCACAGTCTAGGGAAGTTACTGAGAGAAAAAGAGTTGGGTTGTGGCAGTGAAATCAAACTCAGCTACACTAACATCAGGCTTTCCTGGAGTCGGAGCAGTGCGTGAAGATGGAAAGTCCAGTCATTAGTGATATCACCTTTATTTTATACTGTTCCTGGAGAATGTTCCATAGATCTGAGCACAATAGGTGTGAAGAGTCTGGAAATTTTCAGAGCTGTATAAATATAATAGGGAGTGACACCAATGACCTCAGGTTGCTATGCTTGTCAAAGTGCCTGTAGCTTTACCTACCTGTTCAGAGAGCTTATGAGAAAGGTTCTATTTTTAGATAAAATGAGCAAAATCATGTCACGTTGCCTGGAGAGCTCTGAGAATTTATGGTGAGAGATCCATACGACGAGATTGGTTAGATTTATGGACTTGACAGCTGAGGAAGGAGAAAAATATAACAAAATCTCAATGAAAGTCTCCTAATTCTGTCATTTTCAAATGTTAAAGTGCATAAAAAGACCTAGGGGTTTGGCAAATTGTAGATTTTCAGGCTCTACTGCAGAGATTATAATTTAGTTTGAAAAACATTGCCCTAAATCATATAAAATAATAAAAGATTAATCAGAATTACGAGGAAGAATAGAGCTCACAATTCTTTATTTTCTGTAACTCTTCACTTCTCACACACACACACACACACAAAACTGACACATTTTTTTAGCCTTGGGTAATAATAGTAATAAAACTTAGTCTCATTTTATTTTTCAAATGCAGAAAATTTTTTTAAAACTCTTTTTATTTATCTCTGATCATTTGTAATGGGATAGATCTTGAAGGGTGATGGATAGTTTTTTCCTACCAGCTAGACTCAGGAGCCACAATAAAATTTCAGATATGAGATTCTACCAAGGATTTGGGGGGAGTTATTTTCTATATCCATAATATATTACTGACGAAAAAAAAATTATGGAACAATGTGTATCTGTCATAGTCTCATTTAAAAAATATCTATAATATCCATATGTACAAACCAAAATGTCTAGAATGATCCGCAGAAAACATTAATTAGTGATTTTCAATGGAGTGTGGGATTGGGTGTGGTAAAAGTGGATGACGTGCACCATTTGGTCTGAACACTTTTATCTTTAAAAATCACAGACATTACTGTTGTAATAACAAAACCTAAAATATTTGAGTCCATGGACATGCATTTCCATTAGGTGGTGAAACACGGGAGGAGGTCCTTAGTAGTGAATGATACTACCTGCCATCTACACGCCAGAGGCACAACTGAGCATAGAGTGTGTCCACCCATAGCCTCTCTAGGTATGGTCTCCTGGTCAACATAATCCTAACACAAAAATCTTGATTTTCAGGTGTGGGGTTAGCCACCAGAAAACTGGGAAATTTGGCCAAACCCACTGTGATCATCAGCAAGAAAGGAGATATTATAACCATCAGAACTGAAAGTACCTTTAAAAATACAGAGATCTCCTTCAAGCTTGGCCAAGAATTTGAAGAAACCACAGCTGACAATAGGAAAACAAAGGTAAACTTGAATGTTTCTCTTCAAAGTTGGCTCAGGCACCACTTGAGAGAGAGGATTGCTCCCGCTAGTGTTCAAAAGGGTGAACTACTCCGTCCTGTGGAAAATGAGGGTGCCTCGTCCAAGATGAAGACGGTTCAATATTGAGTGATCTGCTTCTTTAATCAACCAAAATCCAAGCAAATCAATTATGTGAACTTTTCTTTGCAGAGCGTTGTGACCTTGACAAGAGGCTCGTTGAATCAAGTTCAGAAATGGGATGACAAAGAGACAACAATAAAGAGGAAGTTGGTGGATGGGAAAATGGTAGCGGTAAGAGTATTTTCACTTCTAACTCAGAAATAATGCTATTTAAATAGAGAAATTGGTTATATTTTCAAAATATTCTTTTTCCTGTGGAATATAAGTGGGTAAGAATGGCTAAGAATAAAGTCGGAGTTAATGCTTGGGTGATATTGAAACCATAAGGACTCATCTTCACGTATTTTAGGTATAGGTCCAAGATTTTAGAAATAAAAAAGCCTATTTGTTATTTTTAGAAATCATAACACCTAAAAAATATAATAAAATTAAAGAAAATATGGGTAAATCTCACTAGTTTGGATTCACAAAAACAAAAGCAAATCTAAGTTTTAAAAGCAGTTCAATACCCAAAAAAAGGAGAATAAAAAAAACAAGGTATGGTATATTCACGTATTTGAATATCGTAGAGCAATTAAAATCAAATTTCCAAAGAACATTTAAGGACTCGAATAAGCCTTAATAAACTATTACGTGAAAAAAAGCTGAATATAATAAAAATTACATTTGATTCAGAAAAATAAAATAATAAAATAAAAGCAAAACAAACACCAAAAGGCTCAATTGTAGAATATTCGTAGATATCTAAGCATTTTGCTTTCAAGAATCCATAGTAACTTGGACAAAACTTTGTCAATAATTCAACCTCTGCTAACTGGAGACCTCTTTTAGTCGTCAGGTAAGAGTGAAGACCAAGGTTACATGAGATGACCTCCAATGGTTTTTTTGAAGTGTTAGGTTCTGTGCTTACTAATTAACACATACGTGGGATATAAATAGATTCATATAATGTTTTAAATGTTTCTTCCTTTGGTACGGAGGTTCTTATCCCTAGCTGCACAATAGATTTACAGGAGTAAGTACCAACATGGGGGCCCCAACACAGACCAAGGGAATGCAAATCTCTTGGGGGAGGAGGAGCCATCATTATTTTAAATGTTCCCCAGGTAATGCAAATGTGCAGATAGTTTTGAAAAACACCGTTTTAGTAGATTTAAATGCATGCAAATTGTGCATAAAAACTTCCCACTTTAAAAAATTCCTGTGCTGTAACATAGATCAACTTAAAAACTGTTTCTCCTACTTTAATGGTCATGATTCTGTATTACCAGAGACTGATCTACTGATATTTTATTCCTTTCTAAATTTAAACTTATAAGTTTGATTTTAATTTCTGTTATTTTTACCAATTTGCTGTCCCCTGGTTTGAGTTTTAGGTATTCAATTATCTCTCTCTCTTTTTTTTAAGGAATGTAAGATGAAGGATGTGGTCTGCACCAGAATTTACGAGAAGGTCTGAGAAAATCCTCATTGAAGTGATAGTTGACCATTTGATGTTGGAAATCAACTCCATGTCAAGGCCTGACTTCACCACAGTCTGCTTGTTTGTTTTTGCTTTTGTCTTAATAGATCAGATAGGCAAAGGCCTACACTGAGGATTAAGCTAAAATTCGGTGTTATTTAAACATTTTCAATTTGCATGCACATCTTTACTCTATTAAAGTATGTATATTGGCCAGACCTAAATAGTTGACAACGTCATTTAATTATCTGCGAAATTCTAACCTACTTTCTACTTGGTATATTTGAAATGATAGTGAAAGGAAGTCATAAGATAGTAGAAGGAAGTAAATATATTGATCAGGGGTGGCAAACTCAACTGCTTTCAGGGGCCAGGAGAGTCTGAGGAAGGAGGATCAGAATGAGGCAATCTAGAAGAAGGAGCTGTTTAAAAATGAGGAGTAAAAGGGGCAGCCTGTACTATACTCCAGCCAATTTTTTTAAATTGAGGGTTAATTTATAGACAGTGAAATGCACAGATATTCAAGGTAGAGTTCCTTTAATCCATTGTGATGAATGCCTTCACCCATATAAATTCACATCCTGATCAAGATATAGTACATTTCCTTAATCCCAGAATGTTTTCTCATGCTCCTTCCCAGTCAGTGTCCAGCTCTGTCCCACCTCCAACAAAAGCAAATAGTGATTCAGTTTCTATCACCACAGATTAGTTTTGCCCGTTCTCAGACTTCATATAAATGGAATCATACATTATGTGTTCTTTTCTGTCTGGCTTTTAAACCTCAGCATAATGCTTTTGAAATTCATCCGTATTGTTGCATGCAGCAGTAATTTGTTCCTTTTTATTGCTGAGTAGTATTCCATTGCATGGATATATCACAGTTTATTTATCCATTCTTCTCTTAAGACAACCGGGCTGTTTCCAATTTTTGGCTACTATGAATAAAACTGCTATAAACATTCTTGTATAAGGCTATTTGTGCACATATGAGTTCCTTTCTTTTGGATAAATAATGAGGCATGGAATTACTGGGTGCAGTTGATTTTTGACAGGCAGGAATAGGGGACCACTGTGCCCAAGCAATAATGAAACTATTTCAGATGTGTTATATGATTTAGCAAATGAGAAAATGTGTTGATGTTGTTAGGAGCCAGGATTTTCACTGTGGAAGAAGGAACTTACAAATATGGAATGAGGGAAGACAGGAAAGAAGCATGGGAGAATGGACTGGAATAGATATAAATCCATGGTTTCTAAAGCATGTGTATATATGTACATATAACTGCACATGCATACCTGCATATATTTATATGTGTGTATATATATGTATTTATGTGTATGTATATGTGTATATACATGCATTTATTTCCTAGCTCTATCTGCCCAAAGAGCTTAGAAGCAAAGATACCACAATAGGAATGAGTACATCTACCACCAGACCTTGGTGTATAATATCATTCCCCACTAAAAGGAATGAGGGTTCTTTGAAGAAATGGCTGATTCCAGTGTGAAGGCAGGGTAAGTACAAGATGAGCCTGAAATAATCTGTTATACCAGAAACTAAGAGAGTGTTCAAAAAAAATAATAGAGGCACATCACCAAAATATGGGAGCCAGCTTGAAGGTGTTCCCATTGGCCAAATCTGGGACAATTTGAAAAGCAAAATAATTGAGAAAAATCATAAATTATAAACCATTAGGGGGAAAAGTAAGAACGTATAAATCCATTATGATAATGAGAGATAGAGAGAGAGAGAGAGAGGAGGAGAAGGAGTGTCTTCTTCACTGTAGAATGCCATGGTCTGACGGGTAAATGTAGAACAAGTGCTGAAATTAGAAAATCATTTTTCAACCATTACGGTAAATATTGGCTCAGGCAAGAATTATCAGTGTATGCTAAAGCTACAGAGAAATTTCAATTAGGAGCAGGTTATTAGTTTGGTCTTAAAGTATCTCCTCACACATTGCTTATCAGTGTTGAGGAAGAAGAATTCTCCTCTACCCTTCAAACTTTCTTTTGTCTGGTCTAATAATCAAATCGACGTGAGACAGATTAACAGGAGAAAAACAAACTTAATTTCGTACATACAGGAACCCCACATACATAAGAGGTTTGAAGACAGAGAGGTAAAAGGAAGTATATATGCCATCCTGAGGCAAGGAATGGGATAGGGGCCTGGGGCTTCAGAGGAGAGGAGAGTAATTCACAGGACAAGAAGAAGAGCAGATGTGCAGTAATTAGAGGTTTGCCCTGCCATACAGATTGATCACACAAATTTATTTCTGGTAATAACTCTCATTATGGGCAAGGCCCCACTTTAAATTCTTTAGGGGAGAGGTAAAAGTTTCTCTTGGGCCTGCAGAATCTCGATTGCCTTTAGCTCAAAATAAGCCACATCCAAACTGACACACCTTGGGGAGGCCTGTTCTGAACCGCTTCATAAGGTACAAGTGAAAAAATAGTAACTATGCAGTAGAAAAATTGGACAACCTCTTGACTGGGTAATCAAAATTAACCTCACCGATGAGGGGCGGATGAACAGCATGTGCCTTCAAATGTGATACACTGAAAAGGAAACAGCACCACTTATGTCGTAATCTGGCCTGGAATCCGTATCTGGATCTAATCATGAGGAAACAGCAGACAAATTCCAAATGAGGAATGTTCTATGAAAAAATGGGAGGGGGTGTTGATTGAATTCTTCAAAAATGTCAATGTCGTAGAAGACAAAGGAAGGCTCTGTGGAAGTGTTCCAGGTTAAATTATACTAAAAATACGTGACAACTAAATACAGGAAGTGAGCCTAGACTGGATCCTGGTCCAGAGGTAAAATAAACGCTAGAAAGGACAAATTTCAAGGTTAATTGGCAAATTGAAATATAGGTGGTAAATTAGATTAGAAGTATACTGTAACTATGTAAGACACTATCCCTATTCTTGGGAAATATACACTGAAGTATTTTGGAGGTAATGGGCCATAATGATGCAATATAGTCTCAAAAAATTCAGAAAAAAGTATTGTGTGTGTGTTACATTACATACATACATATAGAAAGAGAGCAATTGATAAAGCAAATGGGGTAAAATTTAACAATACACAAATCTGAGCAAAAGCTACATGTGTTTTCTTTGAATTAATCTGATTCTTGCAACTTTTCTGCAAGGTGGAAGTTATTTCCAAATAAAATTTTTTTAAAAACCTGCACTCGGCAAGTCCTTCTCTGACTCTGACAGTGGTCTTGGAGGCATCATAACTGAGGTGTGGTTTTTTACTTATTTTTTGGCTCCCCACATAAACCCATAAAAAGGAGAGTTTAAAAACTGTGGTGCTATTTTTAGAGGTTTGTGGTAACATGACTGGCTATAAAATGTACTCCTCAATCAATATAATTGCTTTACAGAAATCGTGGGTATTTTTTGCTTTCATAACAGGAAAAGTGCAACCACACTGATAATGAGGAAGAAAATAATCTTTTAGGCAGGTGGTACATGTTGCTAGATTTGAAAATGATTTTCAAACAACCGGAAGAGGGTGGGGGTGAGGGGGCAACTAGAGTTCTGCAGTATTCAAAAACAGTCTCAGAAAATGATTTTGATTCTCTAGTTCTTTTTGATATAACGTGATGTTTAAGAGCAGTCAGACCGCCTAGTTCAAATTCCAATTTGCTATTTACTAGCTGTGTGTTATTGGCCGAGTTACTTACCCTCTCTGCCCCTCAGTTCCTCTATCTGTAAAAATGGAGATAATAGAACATACCTCAAAGAGTTGTAAAGAATAAATAAGTTTATGTATGTAAAGTGCTTAGAACAGTGCTTGCCACAGGAAAAGTATTATACATGTGTCTTTTGTTATCATTATTATTATTATCTTTGTGTGTGTGAGGAAGACTGGCTCTGAGATAACACCCATTGCCAATCCTCCTCTTTTTGCCGAGGAAGATATTAGCTGTGAGCTAACATGCGTGCCCGTCTCCCTCTATTTTGTATATGGGATGCTGTCACAACATGGCTTGATAAGCTGTGTGTAGGTTCGCACCTGGGATCCGAACCTGTGAACCCCAGGCCGTCTAAACAGAGTGCGTGAACTTAACTGCTACACCACCAGGCTGGCTCCTGTTATTATCCTTTATTTGATAATATACGTGATGTTCAAACAGATCATTTTTATCCCTCAAAATGAAGAGAACTTTACAAGATCTTAAAGCTGTTGATGTTGATTTACACACCAAGTGACTAAATTTATTAAGAATATTATTTACACAAAATTAAAAACAATCAAGAAACCTATTAAGATGAATCCACAGAAAAGCTAACAAACATTGCTATGTAACTCTGTAATCTAAGCAACTTTTAAAAATGGCAATTGATGATTATCTCCTCTAACTTAAATAAGGTCTAAATAAATATATCTAATCCCCAAAGGATATGTAATTTATCTGATGTCAATTAGATAATAATTGGCATACCTGATGTCGTGCTCTTAGAAGCCATGTATGCTGGGGCTGGCTCAAGTAGTCTCATAAGAGCTGATTGTTAGATTTTCAGGAATTTGGCAAACATTGTTAAACCATTGGTAGCTTAAAATCAGCCATGATGGGAATATTTACACCTGGCAAATGGTCAAAACACAACCAATTATGGCTTTGTTTCTCGAAGAGCTGGTTTTAAACACTTATTGGCACACCACTGACTAGAAGTAGCATAGTACTTGGATTTTATTAACGAGAGTCTTAGTTTCATGTTGACCATAATATTTCTAATTTTTGACTACAGATTTATGTTGAAATTTCTTAAAAAGTCAGTCCTGTTTAGCTTTTAGAATGATTTCTTCTAAACCAGGTAGTACTTCTCTTTATATAGCTGACATTAACATCATCTGGAAGTTTTTAAACATACCAATACCAAGATTGCACCACAGACCCATTGAGTCTACACTATGGGTGATGGGTGAGAGTCAGGCATCAGTATTGTTCTTAAAACATGCCAGGTGATTCCAATGTGTGGCCGGTTTGAGAACCACCATGCCACAGTCTCTGAAAGTTAGAAATTTAATGCAGGTTATTATCATTTGGTGTCAATTAAAATCGAGTGAAAGGTCATTGAAGTCAGAAGTACCAAATGTCCCCAGCGTGACACTGAGTAACAGTGGGCAGTCAAAATACTACCATAAAATCAACTCAGACGTAACCAAGTCCTGTGTTAGGGAAGCAAGTGTTTACCTCTTCT